ATTGGTTAGAGTTTAACTTTTTAATATAGCTTAATCATGTACAATGTTTTTCTCATAAAACACTATGAATTGATATAGTATCTCTTCAAATGGTTTTTTTTATTATGATTTTTAAAAAATTATTTTTTTAATATTAAACTAACTGAGAATTGGAATTGCAAGTAACTACAACTAAGGCTAAATCATACGGGGAAACATTATAGTTTCATCAAAAAATACTATAAATTGTTACAAAGTTCCTCCATGTGTTTTTTTTTGTTATATTTTTAGTCTAAAATTATTTATGTTGATTTTATTTTTTTAATATTGAGCTAATTGAGAATTTAGTTCTGTAATTTTTTTCTTCAAAACTCTATGAATTGCTGCAGTATCTTTCCACATGATTTTTTATGATTTATTTTTAAAATTATCTTTGTCAAATTTATTTATTTGAATATTGAGTTATTTAATGATTATAATTAAAATAAAGCTAAATTATACAGAGAAATTATTACAGTTTTCTTCATAAAACACTGTGGAGTGCTATAGTATTTATCTAAATTATTTTTTATGATTTTGTAAAATTATTTTTGTTAATTTTATGGGGAAAAGCACTACAATTTTTCCTACAGAACATTATAAATTGCTACAATATTTTTTTCTCACAAGTTTTTTTTTCATTGCAAAATTATCTTTATCAGTTTTTTTAATATTAACTTGATAGAAAATTTAGCTTTGTAATTTTTTTTATTAACAAAAATGCTAAACCATGTAAGGAAAGTATTGTATATTTCCTTACAAAATACTATAAATTACTACAAATTATTTTATTTAGTTTATAAATTTCTAATCACTAACACAAATTTGTTTTTTATTATGAAATATTGATTTAATTATACTTGTAGTTTTCATTACTTATCTGGAATTGATTCATAATTATAATATTATTAAATATATTTATTTTATAAATCCACGGTAGCACGCTAATATTCCATCCTTGTCAATTTTATTTTAAATTGTATACATTAAAGTAAAAGGTAATCAAATACTAAATTACTATTAGGAAATTATTGTAATTTTTCGAGCATCTATCCCGAGGAAAAAGATATTTTAAATAAATTCTGTTGTATATCTAATTTTCAATGCTATATTTTTTGAATATTCAGTAATACTAAATAAAAACTGTTAGGTTTCAATTTATTTGAAATTGTTATTTTTTTACAAGTATTTGATATTTTTTCCATAAAAAACCTATCATAAATCTGTATCGTAAAACTATATTTAAATTTATGTAAAAACAAAATAGCATGACTTCAAAGGAGTGTATGAATTCATGGGAGAATTTAAAAAAATAAAATTGTTAAGTAAAAAACCAAAACTAAAAATTAAAAAAATGAAAGAAAAAGATATTAGGCCTGGCCCAAACATGGGGTGCCTGACTAACTTGCATGGCCCAGGCAATTAAGATGAAAAAAACAAGATGTCTCGTCTATGCTTGAACTCTTTTCTTTTCAGAGACGTACCACGTGTCAGGACGATGTTTTTTTGTTTAATTCGATTCACTTTAATATTTTTTTTTCAAATAAATTCGGAGTTTTACTTTTTTTTATCCATTTTCCACACGCGCCTAAGACGCCGCTTCACTAATCAAGGCTTCCAGTAATCTGAATCCACACCCGGCAAACTGAGAAAATGGCAATAACAAAAACCTTATCACTAGGTTTTAGTCTTATTTTCAGACCAACTACCAAGCATCTCCTCCATCCCTCAGTGCTCTCACACGCTCCAAAGCTCTCACTCTCTCACCAATCCTTCTACTTCCGCTGCCTCGCCCCTCCTTACAAGACCCCCACAAATCCATTCATCATTTGTCATGGCAAGGTGAGAGTACCCCTTGTAATACTGACCAGTTCATCATTTAATAATTATTATATAATTAAAATTTTTATCCTCCCCAGTTGCATAGTGACGTGCCTGAGGAGATTAATGAAGTCTTCTTTGATGATAATTATGACATGATGATCGACGAAGAGGAGATCAGTGATGAAGATGAGACCGAGAGCAGTATTGATTTACTAATCAGGTTCTTGCAAAGTATGTTCAAGAAGTTATCTAAGAGAGCCAAGAAAGCTTCTCGCTCTATGTTACCTGCTGTTATATCACCCCAGTTGGTAAATTATCTTTTCTTCTATTGTCCTGTCTTGGCTGCTCACCTTTGTTGTAGCTTAATTTGAACATTTAATTGTTAAAAATGCCCATGAAAAATATAGGATGAAAGGTTTTTTTTTTTTTTTTTTAATGGTTTAAAGCCAGCAGATTCAGTACTCCCTGGAATGGTCATGTCTTTTCTCTATATTTTAGGCAGCTGATGAGGTTAAGTACTGTTTGAACAAGACCCCTCAAATTGGAGGCTGGGAAGTTTAATATTGTAAATAGGCTATTTATTATATTGCAGATATGCTTGGTTGTATGATGGGCAGGCTATGGCCTTTCCCCATGATCGAGGAGTGAGCAAGTCTAAAACATTAAATTATTCTTCTGGATTGTGAGCTAATGTAGTTGAACCATTCTGGTTACAGCATGGAGAAAGGTCTGTTAATGTATCTGTGAGCTGATGCAGTTCTTGTATGGCAGTAGAAAATAGACTCTAGTTTGCAGGTTGTATAGCACAGGGATGCTGAAGTCTGAAGTGTGAGGAGATGCCAGTGAATTTGATTGACTTGGTTGGGAAAATAAAAGTATAAAATTGAAGTGTTTCACCAGGAAATCCTTCTAGCATGCTTGTCGTAGAGGATCTAACAGAGAGTTTGAATTTAGTAGAAAATTCACATCTTTTTTTTTTAATTGATACGAGGGAAGTATGCCAACCAGTGATTTATGTAAGGAATTTAAATTGCAGTTTAGTGAGGTATAGCTTATATCACAATTTTTGTGACCGGAACATTGACAATCCTCAAGTTTCACTTGAAGTTGAGTAGGAAACCATCTACCATGAAACTATTTATCGAACTGACACATGCAAGGCTTGGCAGAAATAATGGTGGTGGTTTTTTTTGTATGTAGTTAACAGATCCTGTTTTGAGAGGAAAAGACTGCATAGAAATTGGAAAATTATGAACTCTGAATATCATTCAAACTGCTGCTAATGGCTCACTCCTTTTTTTTTCTTTTGAGGATATGATTGCCTACTATTTTCTTCTGTTCTTCCAATTTTTTTCATTCCGGAAATTCAGGTGTCTTTTGCTGTTGATGGGATTCTGCTGCTGGCTGCAATTTCTATTGTTAAAGCGCTTCTTGAGGTATCCCTTGACCATTGCCAATTCTGAGTGGTTTAGATACCTTCAATGTTGAAAAAGCACAAGGATTAGGTTGAGAAGTTGACCTCCTTCCTTTAAGAGTATATTCTAATTTTACTTTCTGCTAGGACCACTATATAATATAATATAAGCACCATCAAATAGCATATTTTCCATGTTTCCGTGGGAGAAATATTTCTCTTGATCAAACCTATCAACAGGCAAGTGAACCTAAAGTATTTTACCAGGTGGTGTGGTTTCTACAGTCGATGGTATATTGAAGAAATGAGCTAATAACTTGGCGATGGTAAATGTTTATTGCAGGTGGTTTGCACTCTTGGAAGCACCGTGTTTGTGGTGATCCTGCTTCTGCGTGTTGTCTGGACAGCCGTTTCGTACTTCCAGTCAAGCGATAACACTTCTAGCAAGGGTGGAAGTTCCTTCGGTACAACACAGCCAGTGGCATAATATTACTTTTTTCAGGAGCACTCTTTTGGATTTCATCGCAAATGCTGCTGCTTATTTTTACAAGTTAAAATTAGGCAATGGGATTGCTACCACTGGTACCAAACATACCTCCAAGGCTCCAACCCGCCTCCCTTACGAGAGAGCACGCCCCTTTATTGGTTTAATTCATTAGGATTTTATTGTTATTATTATTTTTAGATCACCACAGCAGGCTGTAAAGATGAAGCACCCATTTTTCACGAAATAATGGGACGATTGAAGTGCAGTCTCTTCATATTAGCTAAAATGAACAGAGTAAAGCACAGAGAGCAACCCTCGTCAACTTTGGACTACCGAAGATACACAACACAAACAGGCGTACTTTGTTGAATAAGCTTCAGCTTCTTAACAAACACAACGCAAAAATAAAGTTTATACAAGATGTGAGCACTAGAAATATTAGACATGCAACTTTATCTAACAAGATTAATACCAATGCTAGGAGGATCTGTACGCGTATTAGTACAGACAAGAACATGATGCCTGTTAAGATGTATGGAGTAGAAGTTTCCAACACAAACAAATGGAGATGTTCAGAGCAGCTTGAATTGGAAATGTGTTCTTCGTTTTAACCTAGCGCGTATATTTGGACAGCCGATGAAGGAAGAAAAAGCATTGCCACTTGAAGCTTCTTGCTGGTAATTGACGAAGATTTTCTATACTATGACGTTCTTTGAAGACCACCACCAACCTGCATATGCAACCATTCCGGTGATGTACAGTGATTGTATTCCCTCGTGGCTTGCGAACCAAATGCCATGCCAGCAGTATCAAAAGTGTTTTGGCCAAACTGAAATGGAAAACTGATTCGTCATGAGATTCATTATTCATGAGACAAAGGAAATCACAGCATCTTTGCTCACTTTCTATTTATCAACATAAACTTAGACCTGCATCAGGCTCTCAACTCTTCTCTTATTCATCTGTGAAAAGAATCAAACTACACAAAACTAGAAGTCATCACCTTGGAAAATCACCATTAAAGGATCATATAGAGGAGGTCAACTCATTAAGGAAATCTGTCATTTTAAGCATGTCTGCCACTTGCAAGGTTAATCTAGGACAGAATTTAATGTTGTGCTATAGTAATGCCTAAGCAGAAAGAGGAAACAGCAAAAGCAAGATTGCACAACCAAGTATATCATACAAAATCTGGTAAGACGATAAACTCTATTTCCAAACAGATCAAAAATCAAAGAAAATAAGGAGGGAGGAATCTAAAAGAAGCAGAGATTGTTTAACTATCCTCAATAATCCTCCTTTGATAATACATCTCTGCTTCGTCTGAACTGCCAACCATCTCATTTACATGGTAAAGGATGACTGAGGGACTCTGGATGCCCTCTTCCTCTTGGTGGTTTGAAATAAACCACCATTTGTAACAATAGAACATAAAACAACCGTGGAAATGCTGAGTACTCTTAACAATTCAAGCATGCTTAAAATAACAACTGGACAGGGTGTTGGCACTTACATCTTTAGAAGGAAAGACTTCAGTTCCAGGGTTCATATTCAAATTAACTGCTTCAAGCTTCATTGATAGAAACTGCAATTCCCAGTAATTTGTAGGACTTAACACTAAAGTCAATAGGGATAAAACGAGAACAAAAGGAATACAGCTTGTTTCTGCACTCAGTCCATTATAAGAAATAAGAATTCATACCTCAACCTGACGTTGTAATGATTGGATGTAATTGATAATCTCGTCAAGGACCAGGGCCTTGCCAGTAACCTGCATCAAAGCATCTGCCTTATCTGACAGTATTCTAATAAATATAATCCAAAAAATCAAAATCAAGCTCAAAACTACTCGTTTATAATATAATTTTTACAGAAGTGAACTCCAAACGTCTGCCTTGTCAAACTTTGCTCAAACAAATGTTAGCATAAGGAAGCTCAAGAACAACCTCAAAAGTGTTCTTTTATAATAATCCACAATTTTTACGGCAGTGAATTTAGGCTTATTGTTGCCTAAATCCCAGTCCTCGATTACTCCAACATATCTCTTGACAAATTGACATCTAAATTCATTTCACAATATTTTTCTGCAAGACTAGATGGATGATGGAACAAACATGCAAGTGTTTTGGGACTAAATCAAAATAAATTTTCCTTGTCAGAAAGGAAACAAATATGGATTTTAAGTTAATTCCAGTACCATACCTTGTTACAACCTGGGACTATATCCTGAAGAATTTTCATCCTTTCGCTTATCTTTTCTCTCCTAGCCTGTCCACATAACAGTTCTCATAAGCAAAAGTCATATGTTGTTGGATGAAAAATCTCCATCAAATGTCATGATTATCATTCACTAAATACTAAAAAAATACATTTTTAGTTTCTCTTTTCAAAATAGATGTTAGTTTAAGAGGATATAAGCAAAGAAAGTTACTCTTTCAGCTAGACTGTGGCTATCAGTAGCTTGACCCCTTCTTGCTCGTACGTGGATATAATCTTGCTTGGTTGGTTCTGGTGGTTGAGGTTTGTGTTCCACATGCTTGCCTGAACTGGGTTCTTCACTTTTAGAATCATGCTGTTGTTGCTGTTGTTGTTGTTGATGATGATGATGATTGTCATCTCTACTCCCCCATGCTTTAAGCCGCTTACCATCACAATCATTCTGCTCCCAATTCAGTTCAAAAGCCAAAAACAGGAACAGCTAAGTCCTAAAAACCTCGTTCTAAATCTTGAACTGTAAAGCTCAAGACTGTTGCTGATTTAGATCAATAAAACATGAAATAAAATAGATCAGAAAGAAATCCAGAGATGGATAAAATACCAGAAGTCCGTTGGTGTTGGTACTGGCATTGGTAGGAGAGAGAGTTGTAGGCTTTGAAGAAGAAGAATCATCAGCATCCAAATCAACCTCGTGGCGTTTCCTGGCAGAAGCTGCTGCTCTCCTCTCCAAATTAAGTAATTCAAACTGCCCTCTTCCGCTACAATTGATGGGAAATTGCCAGATCTCCTCTAAAGTGTAGGGGGCCCCTTCGTTCATCATTGCAGGCGGATCCATACTGATCATTAAAATCCCAATCCCAGTAATAAAGAAGAGAACTAGCACATTTAGAATAGAGAGACAAGGAGAGGGGGAGACAAGTGTTGATGTAGGTGTTGGCGTGTGATCTCCTTAGACAGTGGAGGTTTGTGTGCACTGTGCTATCTATCACTCACTACCTTGGGAGTTGGAACTAAATAGGACTCTGACTACTGAAGTGGTCCCTTACTTCTAGTAGAGTGAGACAGGGAGTCAACAGTTATTGTGAGGTTTTAGACTTTACTAGTCCGTGACTCGACCTATGTTGTGCTACGGGCTGAAAAAAAAAATATTAGCATAAAAATAATCAAGAGATCACAATTATAATTAAAAAAAATAAGAAAAAGTTAAAATTTAGATCATAAAATGGAATAAAATTATCCTATCCCATAATATTAGACCCATCCAATAAAAGATTAAAAAAATGATCATGGTAAAAAAAATAATTAAAAAATATTTTAATTTAACTGAGAGCATCACAAAAAAATAAAAATTAAAAAAGAAATAAATCACTCAAGCAAGCTTGAGCACCTTTATTGGCATACAATTCATGCATCAAGTCATAATAATTTTTAAATAAAACTAAAAAAATAATAAAATACAAGGTGTTGAAGGATAAAAAACCCTAATATCACTTAAGTTTCATCTCCATCATGAACTTAATGTAATTTTAATAATAAAAATCATGCCTTTAATTTATAATTAACTTGATATTAAATAATAAAATAATAAAATAATTTAATAAAAAACCCCTCTTAAATATAATAATAATATAAAAAAATAAGGACTAAATGCGAAACAAAAAAAATTAGGATGAAAAAGATATTGATGATACAAGGATGAAATTTTTTAAATAAAATAAAAAAAAAATTCACAAGAAAATCAAATAAAAAATCAAAAGAAAACAAAGAAAGATCAAATTTAAACCAAAGCAAAAACAAATCAATAAGAAAAATAGCATTTCAATATTAAATAATAAAAATAAAAAAATTTCAATTTGATGAAAGACCCGAAAAAATAATATAAAAAAATAAAAACTAAATACTAAAAAAAAAACGAGGAGGTGGATAACATTCATTGATTTAAAATCTGGAGTTTACTTTTTTGCGTGCATGGTAATTTATCCACCTCTTTCAATTTTTGTTTTAATCAATTTCCTTTAAACTCTCTTTCTCTTAGCTCTTTTTTCATGCTAACGTCTCTATTTGATTTAGTTAATTTATTTATTTTAAATACAAAATAAAAAATTATTTAAAAAAATATTTTGTTAAAAAAACCAATTGGTTTTAATTAGGTCCACTAAATTTTTAATCCGACTATATTTTGTGAACTCCACTTTATTTTTTATAAAATTCAAAGCATTAACTTGTCAAGCAAATCTAAATTTGGAGCAAAAAAAAAAGAGTAAAAAAAAAAACTAATTAATGAAGAGGCAAGATAATTTTGTTGTCACATACAAGTCATTCACATATACCTATTGAAAGAGCCAAAAGCGTTAAAATATATTATTTAAAAACTCCTTCTCTCATCAATTACGCTTTTCTCGATGTTTGTTTTCAAAAAATAAATAAATTAAAAGTATTAATATTAAATATATTCAAATATAAATAAGTTGTTAGAATGATTTTTTTAATTAGAATGCTCATAAAAAAAAACTATAGTTACATTATTCAAAAAAGTTATATTTGGCTCTTCTATTTTATTTTATTTTTGGCTATTAGAAATGCTCCAATTACACATTCGGTGTCTTAAATATTCAAATTTTTTATTTGAGAGTCCATATTTTTGTTATTTTAGTTCTTGAAATTTTAAATTTTTTATCTATTAAGTGTTTTTATTGGATTTTGTTTCTTATATTGTAAACAAGGTTTGGCCACGTCATAGTTTTTATATGCTTTATTTCTTTCTTGATTAGGATATCTTGCATAATGATGGTTTTTGATCAGATAATCATGGGTCTTAATGAGTTGATATTTGAGGACCATCGTTGAGTGGTCCCGTGTTATCTTCTCTTCTTCAGTTAACCTCCTCATTAGCGTGGGTCTGTGTGTCCACTAATACTTTCTTCCGTGTTTGTAGGGTGTCACTTTGTGTGCTTGTTATGTATTTTAAAAATTTTAAATTTTATTTTTTTATTTTTTATTTTAAATTAATATATTTTTTATTTTTAAATTATTTTAATGTGTCGATATCAAAAATAATTTTTTTAAAAATAAAATTATTAACAGGTATTTTAGTACGAAAAATTATTTGAAAAGTAACCACAACTCCACTCTCAAACAAGCTTTTAATTGGTGTGCTACAGAAAAAAATATAAAATAAAGATAAAAAATTTATTTAGTTAAATATGTAAAAGAAAAAATAATGATTTTTAAGTGAATTTTGGTATTTTAAAATAGGAGGTTTAGAGATAATATGTTTTTAGAGACAATATTTATAATTTTTAATTTATAAGAAATTCATATAAAAAATTATCAATTTTAAAATGGTACAAATAAAACATATAAGAATAAAAATAATTATTATCATAATTTTAAAACACAACTCAAGGGTCGATCAAGGGTAAAGCTTGGGTCACTGATCGAGGCTCGGGTTGACCTGAGTTAGCATAAGAATAAAAATAATTATTATCATAATTTTAAAACTAAATCTGAGGATTGATCCAAGGCAAAGCTCAGGTTACAATTGGGGTTGATCATTGACCTAAGTCAATATAAAGATAAAAATAATTATTATCATAGTTTTAAAA